TATAGTGTATGTATGGGTATGTATATATATATACATGTTTATACGTGTATAGGAATAGCTCTGACCTCTCCCTCTATCCGCGTTGCGATGTGTCGTGGTACCGAAAGTGTAGTGGCATCCCTCCTGTACAGACGGTATTGGTTAATCAGTATGCAGTATCTCTACGGTACAATAAGGTACCTTATATATTATATATTATATCTTAAGCTATCAGGAGATTAGATCGCTCTGCTAGTCTCTCGCTTTTTTCCATTGAACTACTTAGCAGTTGTTCTAATTCGCTAATTTGACAGTAGTGCAACCAATTCAGTGTTGCGGCGTGCCGTGGTACTTGAAGAGCAATGGCATTCCCTCTGTGCGAATCATTTTGTATGATATCACAATTGAGAAATAAATCTCACTTTGGTAATCAAACTGCGTCCATTCTGGTGCAATCCGAGGTCATAGCATTTTGTAGGAGTTGTGATAAGTACATACTTCAATATCCGCGTGTGGTAATTTTAGTCCCTACATCGGCAGAGACAATACTTATCAGCGCGTCGATGCCATAGAGCGGCGATTGTGTCTATGTGATAGTATCAGCCAGATGTTTGCGCAGTATGAAAATACATGCAATATGTGAACACGGCACGGCACAATGTGCCAGAAGGAGCTGTGTGCATATGAATACAGAACAATCTAAAGTGCCACACCTGTCTTGTTGCCACCATGCTTGTCGAAGAGATCAACCAGTACCAGCGACCCAGGAGGGTGGTAGGGGGCGACGCACAGCAAAGTGTTGGGATTGATCATCTGCAATCGAATAACTGAGCGTTTAATCATGGTTCACGCCGCCGCCTTGCATCATTTTGACGTTGGTTTATCAGCACATGAGATATGGCAGCCAGCATGGTTCATGTACCTGTGCGAGTCTTTACTCCATACATAACATCAACTGCAACACGAAGCACGCGGCCGAATGTAGTGAATTGATATACATGCCATGAAACCACACGTCAATATATGAGACCATATGCTACACAACAAGTCACCTAATGAAACTAATTCGGCCATCCGCCACACATCACATAGATCTAACTACTACTGGTAGGATGGCTATTGATTGTGTGGAATAAAGGTCCGACCAGACTATATCACTTTCTTGGGGCTGGTTACCTGGGGTGCAATACACTTCAAGAACTGTTATTGGACCACCTCATTCAAAACCCAGCTCACAAAGATCTGATATACGTGCACGTGAGATCTTAAAGTCTGGCCAGACAACGTCCGTCATTTCTTATATACATGAATACCTAAATAGATACACTGTCGGTCTACATATGCTCGCAAACGTAGGTCACGATAAGGAAAACGAACGGCACACATGGTCGCCTGTACAGTGAACTAATAACAGGCCAATGTAGGCGATGGGCTGGTCCAGAGAGATGTTTATAATCGCGCGTGTAACCGCTGTGTTGAAATATACCGCAATGCGCTCAGCCGCGATCGGCCAATGTAGCAACTATATGAGCACTTATTCACGGTCTAAGAATCACACGTGTGTGTATATACGCAACCGTGTTTAAAATAGCTCTTAGATACGATACACACCTTCGCCTCCACCATGTACTGGCCAAAGCCTATGTAGGCAACTGACCGGTTCAGAGTGGTGCCCACAATCGCACACGTTGTTCCTGGTGTGCCGTTGTCAGGGACTATTCGGTCTACGCGTAGGTAGTCCTGAAGTGTGAGTAATCCGAAAGGTCTTTAGAACTGAACACAAAACGCTATTTAAATACAAGTCTTCGTCTGTTCTGAATTGATTCGGGCTCTTTCTGATTGTGAACTGCGAAACGTTATACTGCAATAGGTGGCTATTTAATACGGATGTGTACCTGTTTCAAAGTCATTCCCAGTGCTCCTGCAGGGCTGTCGCACAGTGCTTTGAAGGCGTCGAGTGAACCCTCCAGACCACTGCTGGGTCTATCAATATGAGAGTGTACGATGTTAGTAGCGCAGCAAGTGTATATTGATTTTGACTGATACACGTGTACATGTACGTGTAAACAAACGAATGAGATGCATGCTATATTCGATGACTGCTATGCTATCCCGTGGCTTCGTAAAATATT